CTTCCTTCCTTCCTTCCTTCCTTCCTTCCTTCCTTCCTTCCTTCCTTTTCTTCTTTTTCCTTTCCTCTTCATTCTCCTTTCTTCTTCCTTCCCCTTTCCTTCTTTTGCCTTCCTTTCTCTCTTCCTAATTTTCCTTCTTTTTCTTTGTCTGTCCTCTTTCCCTTTCTCCGTTCCTGTCCCTTCTTGGATGTTCAAATGCAAAAGGGGAACCATTTCTCCTTTTGTTTTGTTTTTTATTTGTTTTGCTATTCCTCTGCCAGTGAAAAGCAAAGGACTGGCCGGCAGTGCCACTTCCAATGAAAATGGAGCCCAGGAGGGCCATGTGCAGCCCTCCTGAGCTCAGTTTTCGCTGGGAGAGGCACCGCAAGCCGGTCCTTCGTTGTTTCCAGGATGGCCCCACAGGCCAGATTTGGCCTATGGGCCTTGAGTTTGGCCTAGATTAATCTCTGCAATTTTCTTGACAGAATTTTCCAGAAATGGTTTGCCACTTCTTCCTAGGATTGAGAGTAAGTGACTGGCCCCAGGTCACCTAGCTGGCTTTGTGCTGAAGACAGGAGTAGAACTCACAGTCTTTCTGTTTCTAGCCTGATGCTTTTACTACAGCAAACTGGCTCTCTGATTAACATTGTTACATTTATGTAAAAAAGCGCAACAGCTTAAATGTGTCTCTTAGTAATTAAAATTGTTTCACTTACATGCTTACTCTGTTTTCTTATTTCATGAATAAATTTCATTTTTAACTATAGCACATACAGTAATTTACAAGGATCTTACTGAGTGAGTTTCAGAATGCAGAAATTAAGGCAAGTTTATTTTACTCCCTTGAACATGATTTTTTTCTAAGATTTTCTGATCTTTGTGGATTGGGTGTGTTACGTCCTCTCATTTCACCATAGTTTATAGCTGGACATTTTGGAAGCTGAAGAGATGACTTCATTAAAAGTAAAACTTGTTATTTTCCAAATTATAGTTACAATAAAACAACCATACCAAGGTGAATTGACCGGCCTCCAATAATGAGCCATATAATGTTTGAGAGATTGCATTTGCTAGTCTAAGCCCTTTTAAAGGAATAATTATGGCAATTCCTTACTGAGGATGTTCTCCTGAATGGTCTTTGTAGTCACCAGCACAGTTGCTCCAAGTTCAGTTGCTGGCACTGGAAATGAGGAGTTGCAGTTTTCATCATGGGGAGACAAGGAAATCACGTCAACCTCCTGACTTGTGAGTGCAACACAGGGCATATTCTCCTTTAAGACATCATCATGGGTGATCATGGTAACACCATTTAAATGTGGGCATCGAAGCTGTCTAAGGTCATTGTCTCCTGGTCCGCAGTCATGGTTTGTTTGAGCTTCATTGGCCAAAAAACAAATGCACTTGCCGTTTTCTAATAATAATAAAAAATATAATAATAAAAGACAAATTAAAATTTTCTGGAAAACTGAAATTCTTAAAAAAAATCTCTGAAGGAATAATCATGATAGCACAAGAACAGCTGGGCAAATAAACGTAATACCAAAACTAAAATATTTCAAATAACAAATGCAGATTTATGTAAAATATTTTAGAATTTAAACATTATTTATTGGCCAAGTATGATTGGACACACAATGAATTTGTCTTCAATGCATAAGCTCTCAGTATATATACAAACAACAAAGTGATAAATCATAAATCATAAATCATAAGGTACAGTCATAAATCATAAGCTACTAATAGAAGTTAATAGGAAAGATGAGAAGGATAATAGTAACACATCCCTACTACATGGGTAAATATCCTTAGGCATAAGACAGTGCTGTGGGAATTAGGTGTTTAACAGATTGATGGCATGGGGGGTGGGTGGGGGGGAATTGTCTTTGTGTCTAGTTGTTTTGGCATGCAATGGTCTATAGTGGCATTCTGAGGGTAGAAGTTAAAACAATTTATGTCCAGGATGTGAGGGGTCTGTAGATATTTTCTCAGCCTTCCTTCTGACTCCTGCAGTATACAAGTCCTCACTGTAAAGCAGGCTAGTTGCAAAAAAAATTTCTGCAGTCTTGGGATGTCCATTATCTCCCCGGCTCTTCATACTATCTTTGGAAACACTACTAACTCGAATCAGACAGAATCCGGAAATAATGGGGTTAAAGATTAAGAAAGAAGAGTATACATTGCAATCATTTGCTGGTGACATGGTCTTCTTTATTGAAGACCCAATACAAAAAGGACAGAAAATGCTGAATGAGTTAGAACAATTTGGAATAGTTGCAGGACTTAAAATTAATAGAAAGAAAACGAAACTGATAACTAAAAACCTAACAGAAAAATAGAAATCAGAACTAGAAGAGATGATGGGACAACAAGTGGTAAAGAAAATCAAAAACTTAGGAATATGGTTGATGGCACAATGTAAGATGATAATGGAAAATAACTACGACAAATTATTACAATTGGTAAAGAAAGATCTAAGGACATGGGTTAAAAAGCAACTTTCCCTATTAGGGAGGATTGCTACTATTAAAATGTCCATTGTCCCTAAATTCATCTATTTATTTCAGACAATACCAATTAAAATACACAAAAACAATTTTGCGGAACTTAATAGAATAATTGCAAAATGTATTTGGCAAGGGAAAAAACCGAGAATAAACCTAAAAGCAATGCAAGACATGATGAGCAGGGGAGGTATGGCCCTCCCAAATTGGGAGTTATACCACTGTGCAGCTTCCTTAGTATGGTTGAAAGATTGGGGGAACCTATCTAATAAAAGAATACTAACTTTAGAAGGCCATGATTTACAGAGGGGGTGGCACACCTTCCTATGGGATATGGGGAAAACCAAACAAAAATATTTCCATAGACATTTAATTAGAGATTCTCTATTGGCCAATTAGAACAAAATAAGAAAAAAACACTACTTAAAGGTCCCAATCTGGCTCTCAACAATGGAGGCAATGATCCACCCGAATAATTTGGACATTAATAAGATGTTAAAGTATAAAGACCTATTGGATATACAAGGAAATTTGAAATTATGGCAAGACCTCCAGGAACAAGGGTTACGAATTGACCGATGGGCATATCTCCAAGTCCAGAATAGATATAGACAGGACATGAAAGACTTCAGAATCTATAATAACCACAACAATTAGATAAAATTCTATTAGGCCCAGATAAAAAAAATATAACAAAATTTTACAACTATCTATTAGAGATAGAATTAGACAAAAAAACAGTTAAAGGTAATATGATAGCTTGGAATAGGAATATAGGCTGTAGCATTACTCTAACAGAATGGAAGAAGATCTGGAATAGAAACAATAAAATTACAAAATCGGCATCATATAAAGAAAACTCTTATAAAATGTTCTATAGATGGCATCTATCCCCTTCAAGATTAGCGAAGATGTTTCCCAACATGAGCCCTAAATGCTGGAAGTGTAAAAAGAAAGAAGGAACATGTGGTGGTCTTGTACAGAAACCCAAAGATATTGGCTGAGAATAAAAAAATGGATGGAGGAAATTATGTCTGAGCAGATTGAACTTAAACCAGAATTCTTCCTATTAGGGATTCTCAACAGACAATTCCCAAAAAAAGTTAAATATATATAATACTACATATATTGACAGAAGCTAGATTGGCTTTCGCACAATGCTGGAAAAAACCCTATACTCCACCTGAGGGAATGATTATTCAGAAAATATCAAGCTGTGCAGAAATGAATAAATTAACTCTAGCACTAAAAAATAAAGAAGCATCAGACTACTATATGAGTTGGAACTGTTGGTATGAGTGGATTGATCGAAGATCGGCTGTACTATTATTATTATTATTATTATTATTATTATTATTATTATTATTTGTGAATGAAGTGTTAATAGTAGTAATTAGATATTCGCACTAAAGATTAATTGCAAATATGGCACAAAATAATGAGATAAATAAGGAACCACAAACTGTTGATGATGTAATCGTTTTTAATTGTTTACCCCTTTTCCCTTTTTGTTCTTCTTTCCTTCCCAATCTGTTTGTGTGTTGTTTGTGTATTTTTACTGTAAAATTTAATAAAGTTTATTTTAAAAAAAATTCTGCAGTCCTAACTATCAGTTGAAGTCAGTACCTGTCTGGTTGCTGTACCAAACCAGACAGTTATAGATGTACAAATGACATACTCAATAATTCCTCTCTAGAACTGTATCAACAGCTCAAACATTAAAGATGCAGCTGTTGAACACCTTATTGCTGGCCATAGTAAAATTGCCCAACTGAGTTTAAGCAATCATATGTTAGAGTTGTTTATTGGAATTCATGAAAGTTACACGCTTGAAAAATTTAGAAAATGAGGTCAGGATTATGTGAGATTTTAATTTTTAAATTGGCAGACCCAATATACCAGGATTACTATTATTGAAAAAATGTGGTTCGTGGATGTAGAAATGCTAGAAGATAGTAGCATCGATGAAAAACAAATATAAAAAGGAACAAAACATTGAGATTTGCACATTGAAATTCAAACAACTGGAAGACTCTAAGCCAGTTTGGTCTAATGGTTAAAATACAATGTGAGAAAGCAGGAGTTAGATAAAAAGTAGGAGAGATGTCTAAAATAGATGAATATCTGTTAAGACAACGGTTGCCTAAACTTTCACAAACTCAGAGACAACTTATGAATGACCCAATGACTGTTTTTGAAATATCAGAAGCTATTAAAAATTTGAAATCAGGTAAAGCCCCAGGCCCAGATGGCCTTACAAGCCAGTATTATTCCATAAATGCTTTGAAGAGAAACTTCTTCAGCCACTAAAGGATATAATGAACAATATATTACAGAGGGGAAACATACCTCAAACATGGAAAGATGCTAATATTGTGCTGCTACTGAAGGAAGATCAAGATTGAATAGTCAAGATCGTGTTGATGACCCAAGCTCTGTAAAGGACCTTGGAATACTCACCTCTAATGATCTAAGTGCTAGAGCCCACTGCAACTACATAGCCAAAAAGGCATTAAGAGTTGTTAACCTAATCCTACGTAGCTTTTTCTCTGGTAATATCACACTACTAACCAGAGCATACAAAACATTTGCTAGACCAATACTCGAATACAGTTCATCAGTCTGGAACCCTCATTACGTATCTGATATTAGCACAATTGAGAAAGTCCAGAAATATTTCACAAGAAGAGTTCTCCACTCTTCTACTCGTTGTAGAATACCTTATGCCACCAGACTTGAAATTCTAGAACTAGAAAACCTTGAATTACGCCGTCTTCGGTCTGACTTAAGCATGGTATATAAAATCATACATTGCAATGTCCTACCTGTCAATGAATACTTCAGCTTCAACCATAACAACACAAGAGCACACAATAGATACAAACTCAAAGTAAACCGCACCAAACTTGATTGCAGGAAATACGACTTCAGCAATAGAGTGGTCAATGTCTGGAATACTCTACCCGACTCTGTAGTCTCTTCCCCAAACCCCAAAAACTTTAACCTTAGACTGTCTACTATTGACCTCACCCCTTTTCTAAGAGGTCTGTAGGGGGCGTGCATAAGCGCACCAACGTGCCTACCGTCCCTGTCCTATTGTTTCTCTTATTCTTTTATTTTTCTTATATGTACCCATTTCATGTATTCACAACTATGTATACACTTATACTTATTATCTTGTAAACAATTGGCAAATCAAATAAATAAAATAAATAAATAAATAAATAAATAAAACAAAGAATTACATGCCAATTTCATTATTAAACATGGACAACAAACTCTTTGCTGCATTTTTGGCAGAAAGACTATTTTAGAGGCATATATTCATGAAGACCAATCAGGCTTTCTGCTAAAAAGACAGGGATAAAGTGAGGACTGTTTTGAATATTATTGAATATTTACAATATCATAATAAGAAACAGCGCTAATATCTTTAGATGCAGAGAAGGCCTTTGAAAATCTAAATTGGGGTTTTATGTTACGAGTGCAGAGGAAATGGACTTTGGAGAGAATTTCATTCAAGGGGTCAAAGCTGTTTATATATCACAACAAGAAAAAATAGTTATCAATGGTGGTTTAACTAATTCATGTGAAATTCAAAAGGACACGAGACAAGGATGCCCCTTCACTCCTTCGTTACTATTTTTTGGTGTTGGAAGTTTTGCTGCATTTGGTCTGCTAAAAGAGTGAGTGAATCTCCAGAATAAGAGACTACTTGATTTAGAAGGTCACGAACTAATGTTTGGATGGCACGGTTGTTCATGGTATGACAAAGATAAAGTAAATGTTGATTTTAACAACCATTTTGTTAGACATGCCATTCTAAGAGTTTGAGATAAATATAAAACAATGTTTTCTACAAAGGTGCCTCCTTGGGTGTTCACCTGTGGGAAGCCTTTTTCAGAAAAGAAGTGGTGGTGAAGCTGGACTGGGAGACTTATGGTAAAATAATATATTTTAATTTTGGTGATCCTTCCCTCAAGTCTAAGGAATAGTTAGAATCAGAATGTCTCGCATTAGTTTACATATTTACAATTGAAAGAAATATTTAAATTAGATTAAAAGAGTCATGAATTTGACTTTATTACAAATTAATTGGAAATCTTACTTGGTGTGTGGTAGTGATGAACATTTTATTGCTAAGTTCTATAAAATGTTACTGAAATTGGATTTGGAAAGTGAACATGATTCAGTGGGCAAGGAATTTTGGATATAATGTTATGCTTGAACAATTATGGAAGAGTATGTGCATGAAAGTTTTAAAATTTACTTTAAGTTGCAATTTTAAAAAAATTATATAAGATGATATATCACTGGTAATTAACACCAGACAAGTTATCCAGAATGTTTAAAGGTATTTTAAATGAATGTTGGAAACGTAAATGCAAAGGGACCTTTTATCATTTATGGTGGACATGTGTTAAAGCAAAGAAATATTGGAGTAGGATTCATATTCTAATACAGAAAATTCTTAAAGTGAACATAAAGATAAAACCAGAATTTTTTCTTTTGGGTTTAATGTAAAAAAAAACTCTTGTTATATGTGTTAACAGCTGCAAGACTACTTTATGCACAAAAATGGAAGGACATTTTGATCCCCACAATGGGATCTTGATCCCCACAATGGCTGCAAAAGTTGATGGAGTTAGCAGAAATGGTTAAATTGATGGCTAAATTGCTTTGATCAAAGAAAAAACGTAAGTACTTTTCTGTGTACTTGGAAACCACTTCTGGACTTTGTGCTTGAGGTGGAAAAAAATGAAACTTTGATTTTGCGTTTTACTGATTAGCTAGAAATGGCTACATTATGCTATTTACTACTACTACTACTACTACTACTACTACTACTACTACTACTACTATTATTATTATTATTATTATTATTATTATTATTATTATTATTATTATTATTATTATTGTTATTATTATTTAAAAAGTTGAGGTTTGAAGTTACTTTTTTATTCTGCTACACCAGAGGGAGTCGGAAGTCAGCTTTTTCTTTTTCTTTTCTACCTTTCTTTTCTACACTTCTCCTTTCCCCTTTCCCTTCCTTATTTGTCCCACTATTTGCTTTTGTATTTTATATTATAAAGTCATAAAAATGTAAACTACAAAGATACCATGCAAGAAAGCAAGAGACCGTGAGTTCAAGTCTCATCTTAGCCATGAAAGCCAGCAGTTGACTTTGGGACGGTCTTTCTCTCTCAACCCAATTCACCTCACAGGATTGTTGTTGAAGGGAAAATAGGAGGAATATTTTTGCCACCGTGAGTTATTTGTAAAAATAACAAAGGCCGGATATAAACAAACAAAATAAAAACAAATAATACCAGAAGCAATTGCCGCACTTGGAGTTATACCAAAGAAATTTACCAAGTATTTGGAAGTTTTAAATTGTCTGGATTTGACATCACCAACTAGCTTGTTTGGAATTTCCTAAATACTACAATTAAACCTCCATAATTCCTAGACTAGAATCTGAATTTTAAAAAATCTAAACTGATAATTGATGAATAGATAATAATTTTAATTATTAAATCATAGTAATAAATGAATGTACATTTTAAAAAGAAAAAATAGAAAAAACAGAAATAGAAAAATGTATAATCTTCTGCTAATTCCCACTGTTTAATTGTGATATTTTTATGGTCCCTATGGTAGAAACTAAAATATCCCCAATATGACTATTAAACAAGAATGCAGGAGAAAAAAAGAGTAAAAAGGCCTTTTCTGTGAAAAAGGCATATAATCCTAGTTCTATATCTGAACATTTATGCAAGGACATACTGAGAAGTTGCAGTTGGCTCCAAATCCCCAGAAGGGGACTAAGGAAGGAAAGTGATGAAGATTGCATTGTGAAATGTGTCACAAACTCTGCCCCTTACATATTTGTGTGGAGTATTGACACAAGTACGAAATGATGGAGCTGCTTCATGATGTCATGACACATTTCATGTGGATGTGGTTAGAAAAGAAGCCTGTGGGGTGAATTTCAACAGTCTACTTAAAACAAAATTTTTGTAAACTTGAAATTCACCAATATAGTTCAGCATCCCCAGGGTAGGATCTCTCTGGATTCCTTTTTTTCATTTAGAATATTTAAAAAGCGAGAAGAAGAAAACAGTCATTTGGTTCACACATTGCTCAACTGTGTGTAAGACTAGATTAGATAAACCTTTTTCAACATGTATTTAAACTGATAGACTGCAGTTTCTATAATCCAACCAATCTGGTACACTGTATCTGGTTGGAAAGAGTTAGGCTAAATGAAATCAAGTGGATTATCTGAAGTGTTGTCAATACGTACCTTGGGAATTCTTTCCAGTTTTTCTCCTTCTCTTCCGTCTTTGTTTCATGATTACAAGCCATAATGTTGCCATGATGATTACTAGCACCACCAAAGCACAGAAAACGAATATTAAAGCTGAACAATGTTGGTTTCCAGGATGAACTTGCACTGGTTGGGTTGTAATGGAGGTTGTTCCAAATACAGTAGCTGTGGAGGGAGACAACAGTTCTAAGTGGGTCACCTTAACAGAGAAGTTTCTTCTTTCAATGTGAAGGGAAGGGTTCCAATTTGGTTCATGGCATGCCAAATTTAGTAAAAGGAACAATGAAGTAAGAAGTGTGCTACTGATTCAATTGTGCTATCAAAACAGAATCAAAATGTTTCATATGTCCCCTCTGTTAAAGCATGGCAGCATTATAATCATGTGATATGGCATCATGGTGGTGTAGCAGGGCAGAAGCACTGAAGCAGACACAACTTTGTCATATGTCAATCCCATTGGGACTGATGAGTCCCTGATTTTGGATATTTTTTTTTAAGTTAGCCCTTTTGAGATACATTGATTTAAAAAGTATTGCCTTGTGATGCACTGTTTTCTCGAAGTCAAAGATTGCAAACAAACAGAAGAGTTTTAGTAGTGTATAAATCAGGAAGAGAATATGCAGAAAGACAAATCATTGGCTGTGGTTTACTTCCAGATAGAAATAAACCTAACAGCAAAAGTGAACAAGGCTAGTGATTCACCCCAGAAAATCTGTTTTAGTTAATAAATCATGCTGTAGATTCGCATTTCAACTGCTTCAGAGAAGAACATTCACAATCTGTTTTTATTTACATAAATATATGATGCATTAGAATACATAATAAATAATAAGCAAGCTCACCACCTTAAGATTAAATATGTGGGTAGCTGCAAAGAGCCAACCGGTATGTTCTTATTGCAGCTATCAAATCTTACAATTTTACTCATAATGTTTTGAGCTCAGGCTGTGTGTGACCCCTCAAATTTGCTATGTCTAGGAAGTAGAAGACTGAAAATAGATACCAAATAGTTAAATACAATTATTTCCTTTATAGGAAAACTATTATTTTTCCACTTATACAAGAAATATGTCCTGGTGAAAAGCAAAACCTTTATTTTAGAACATTTTATTCTGAGCTCTTCTATCTGGCAGAAATCAACCAATATCCAACACCCATGCAACACTCATAAAATTTAAATGGAGCTTCAGTTACACCTTCATGGACACTATCTTGATTTTTTTTTAACCACACACTGCCTATCCCATCTGAAGGATGATACTCCAAAAGCAGTTTCCTTTGAAATAAATGTGAAAGACTAAGCATACTGATTGCAAAATATCTCAATTACGCACTCTCACCCTCTGCATCTCACTGTTTGAGAGTTGCACTACAATCATACCAGTTCATATAGGAAAAAACACCAGACAATCCTTACCCAACCATATGGCTGGATGTTCTGTATCTGGAAGGTGCCAAGACAAAGAAGGGTGATCTAAATCATGAAGTAAGGCTTTATTTTGTTCCAGATATAAGACTGTTTGTAAATTCTGTGATTAGTGTATGGTACAATGTGTTGGGTGAACTTGACTAACTTACTGAACCACAGTACAAATGACTTAGATCATAAAGCTTCTATGTTTTAAGATTGTAATTGGAAGCAATGGGTTTTGGATGAAGAATGAGATAATAGAAATGGGAAAAAGAAAGAAAAGGAGTATTTTGTTTCAAGGAGACTAAAAAGGGGTATGTATAGAGTATATGTACAAAAAGTATCACAAGACAGTTAAAATAGATATATTTGCATATTTTCTTCCTCTTTATTGAAGAGGAAAGAACCAAAAGGATGCTAGAATTCTGCTCTGTTGGTATCAGCTGCTTACTAAAATTTCACTTGAGCCTTCATTATAAATACTTGCGTGTATGTCTTCACTGATGAAAGAGAGATAAGCTAACTTTGCTAAAAATGAAAGAGGAAGTTGTCATCTTAATGAATTTTGCACTAAACTGACTGCTTTGATTAAGGAAAAAACACATTTACTTTTGTTTCTATTTGGAAACTGCTTCTGGACTTTTTTCTTGAGGCAGAAAAAAATGAAACTTTCATTTTGGGTTTTGCCAATTAAATAGGTTTGCTATTATAGAAATGGCTAGTTTATACTATTATGTAAAAATAAAAAAAATAAGGTTTGATGTTATTATCAGAGATGGTATTCAGCAGATTCTGACCAGTTCTGCAGAACCGGTAGTAGAAATTTTGAATAGTTTGGAGAACTGGCAAATACCACCTTTGACTGGAGATTTTACAGTATCTTTCCCCTGCCACGCCCACCAAGCCACGCCCACAGAACCGGTAGTAAAAAAAATTGAATCCCACCATTGGTTATTATCATATTCTACTGAACCAAAGGGTGTCAGAAGTCAATGCCTTTTGTCCCCCCACCCTTTTTCCTACACTTTTCCTTCCCCTTTCCCTCCCCTATCTTTCCTACTATTTTCTTTTGTATTTTTGTATTTTATATTATAATTTAATAATAAAAATACTGTAAATATATAAAAAAGAAAAAAAATACTTGCATACATATCTTCAGTAATGAAACAGGGGTAAACTAACTTTGCTAAAAATGAAAGAGGAAGTCAAAATGCACCTTGATGAGTTTTGCACCACCCGAAATTATTTTCTGCACTCCCAGACAGTGACCATAAACCAAACATCTAAAATAAAAGCCTATAGATATAGCAGGGTAAGAGGGAAACACATGTTTTCCTTTTATGTATAGGAAGGAAACCCACACGTTATAGAAGGGAAGCAGATTTTAAACAAATCTGAAAAGAGATTTGCCCTTTTTGCATCTATTCTAATAAAACAGCAAGCAGACACCACAGACTTGAAGTCTACCCGCCATTGCTTATAGATTCTTTTACTGGAGTTACATAACATGCTTAAGCCTAATCCCAGGTTAACCAAAAACAATTTCTTCATTCATCTTTAAATTCCCCCTCAAGATAAACCATGTTATGACTTCATGCTATGACCTAATTCACACAAAACACTGGGACAATGACTGAGTTTTCTACAACCGGCTGATTCACAACAATTCTAATCTACCTTTGTCAGTCTTGTCGTGTGAAACCAATATAAGTCTCAAGTAATGTGAAGGAACCGCTAAGCTAAGCTGTCTCTGAGTCTCAAATGCATCTACTAATAATTCACTGTCATTCCCTTGACTCTGGCGGAATTTTCTCTATTAATTGTTTCCATTTCATGCGGGATGCTGAGGAGTGGGCTCTGCCATAACGTGATTGTACATTTCTTGGAATGCTGGAAAGCAGAGCATGTAAGAGCATGTGACTTCCTGTAAAATCCCAGCTGAAGACACCTCTAAGAACTCCCTTCAGCGTAGCTTTCCATCCTCCCTCATAGAGGAGTCTGAAGTAAGATGGACCAGACAGCTCACTATTATCTTTACCAAAGTCTGTTTTTTTTTCTAGAATTGGTCAAGGAAGGCCTTCTTTTCTGCTGGCACTAGATTATAGGAGGCATCTTTGGCAACCCTACCTTGAGGTATCGATGCCTGGGGCCATGACAGGACGCTGAGTAACCAATATGCCAAATGATGGTGATGTTTGTGCCCATCAGTTCAGGGGTGGGATTCAAAAATTTTTTACTACCAGTTCTGTGGGCTTGGCTTGGTGGGCATGGCAGGGGAAAGGTACTGTAAAATCTCCAGTCAGAGGTGGCTTTTGCCAGTTCTCCGAACTACTCAAAATTTCCGCTACCAGTTCTCCAGAACTGGTCAGAACCTGCTGAATACCACATCAGGTTCTTACTCCAACTGATGTTATTTTTTAGATTTTTGAAATCACCAAATCATTCTCATCATTACCATCCATACATCAGCCGAACCTATTATCAATGTTTCAGTGTCTTTGGGCCCTACTTAAAGCAGGGGAGAGGAGAATACACAAAAAAGAACTGAGAAATGGTGGCTTCCTAGGAGGCAAAAAAAAAAATCAATGAAGTAGATCTTCCAGTAAATTGATATTTAGGATCGGCCATGTGCATGCTCATTAAATATCTTTTGTTAAAGTAACTATAATATTCTCTCAAATTTCCACTTATATTCTTTATTGAACAGGAAGATGCCTTTAAAAAGGCACATCATTAACTCATTCAGCTTACATAAGAGTTGAAAGAAACATACATCTATTTATTGCAACTATATATATATATATATATTCAGTGCTTGTGAACTAATGTTCAACCACTCAAGTACAAGTCTATTTTGCAAATGAATTTATAATCAGACTAATAAGATGAGAATTGCCGCCTTAAGCACAGAGCAGAGCCCCTCACATAAGAAGGCAATTTAACATGCATTGTTCTCTACTCCTGGATTCTCTTCTTGCTTTTAGAGTCCATTTCCAGCCTACCTCCAGACCCCTATTTTCACCCCACCCTTTTATGCCTGGGATTTTATATTTTCCTTACTTGTCTCTTTCCTGGATCCTCTTTGCATATGTCTACACCTATCGCATTTGTTGATCAGCCGGTCGTAGCAGAAGCTGGGGTGTTGGCAGGTTATGTTGTGACGGTCCATCAGAGGCCTTGATGAGAACAGGCAGTATCGTAACCGTTTCTGTTCTTCATTACAATTGAGTGTTGAAAGGAAGACAGTTAAAGTTTAACCAGGGAGGAGATTATTCAAATGTGGCCTCAATGAGAAATCAGTGAACTGTGAAATTCAGTGGGTTTTTTTTAGTGCTAACTACTACCATTTTCATTAATGTCATGTATATCCCAGAAGTCACTGCTCTAAGAAAATCCTTTCTGTGGTGTCCCCAAGATATCACAGGAAGCAGTAGAAACATCTGAATACTTTGGGAAGAGTAGCAGCATTCCTACTGCCTCACTAAAATTCCTGTTTAACTTTTGGATGGTCCATGAATGATATGGTTTTTCCCACAAAGTGTATGTAGTCCATTTTATAAAGATGGGAAATAAACAAGTAAACATGGCTACAATCTCCCTTTTGAATAAATAGGTTCAAGTTAAGAGACAAAATATTCTGCTGGGTGTGTATTTCAAAATACTAATAACAGCCCAGCTTTGGTTACTTGCTGTTCCAGTTTATGAAGCCGATATGATTGGCTACCATCTATCTTCTCTCTGGCCATCCTTTAATCTACACAACACACAGTTCTATTAACTGTTCTATTTTCCTACTGTACATTATTTCTCCATTATAGCTTCATCTATGTACATAATTTTACAGCTAACAACAGATCTCTAACTTATATTTTAAAAGAGGACAAATATAAAATAAAAAACTTTTTCAAAAAAAAAAATATTTTAAAAGAGGACAAAGAACCCAAGAGAGAAAAGAGAAATGGCACAGAAATGGAGGGAAAGTGTGCAATTATTTCAATTATATGTAGCTTTTATTACAAGAGTGGATGCCAAGGCAGTGCTTTGGCCTAGGCCATCTTAATGATTGCTATTGTTGAGACGATGCTTTTAACTTTGGAACATGCTAGTCCTTAGTTATTACGCTCCTAAAGAATTTGCTGCTTGGAAAAGCACAATAAATCAGATCAGCTGGCAGTGCCATCCTATAATAATCAACTTCTTTTCTTTTCTTTTTTCCTTTTCTTTTCCTTTTCTTTTCCAGAAGATTAGCAAACGCAAGCCTGGGCCATGGGGTACAAATGATTTTGTACATGTTGCCTGAAGTGGCTCCTACTTTTATACAAGATTAGAAAACAGAGCAACTGGGTTAGGGAAGAGGATAAGGTATTTCATTTTTTAAGGATGTCTCCAAGGTGGAATGTGAGTAGCAATGCATAGTATTAGATAATAGATAACTATAGATAATCTTTTTGGTTATCATATTGATGTATTCTCATTGTGTACTTTTTCATTGTTTATTTTTTTGTTCTATTATTTTACTTTTGTTCAGTTTACAGTCTTCATTTCTTCCTTTTATTGTTGTAGAGAAGCTCCACTATGAGATAGGTAGCAAATACATTTAACAAATAGTAGTAATAATAGTAGGAAACAGAGATTATGCTAAACTGCTAAAGGCTAATACTTTGCTTTGCAATGTGATGGGTTTCCAGTCACATTTTTTTTAAATTAAAAGAATATTTTATAAGAAAATTGAGTAAAACAGGGAACTTAGAAAATGCCAAGGAGTATATTGGCAAGCATATTGTTACCTCTAAACACCACATTGGATACAATGAGACACACATGCCACGAATGCCTTTAACCTGATTGATTCAATCAGGAATGTACTATTGAACTAATGCAATGTTTATTTGCATTACAGTTCAAAGAAAAGCACGTCCTCCCCTTTGTTTTCTGTTTCTGCATCAGCAATGCTTGACATTAGTTTAACCAAGAGAGAAATTCTCAGAGCTACATTTCTCTGGGACAAAGCTCCACTAAATAGAATCAGAAGCAAATTTCTCTGTAAATTTTTCTAAAACTTCGACAGTTTTTAACACGACGTCTTAACAAACTTCATGTTTCATATTTTCCTTTAATACAAATTTAGAATGTTTTCCTGAAGTCTATTATTTATTATTTATGTTCACCTGTATCAGGAAAGGGAGAAAATTGCAGGAAATTACACTTGGTTATATAAGAAACTGATAGCATGTAGACTTTAAATAAGTCTGTGTGAATCAGTGTTTCTTTATCTAATACTTCCTGATTCTATTGAACTTTGAGAATCTCTAGGCATCAGCTACGGTAGTCAAGAATACAAAATTTGAAGTGTACAGTACAGTTTGATGAAGTTTGATATATATGCTTCTGAAAATTCTGTGATAAAAAGATAGCACGTGTAAGAACACGATTGTTTAAATATACATCTGTGAGACACTGTTTTTTGAAAGACACACAAGATCCAATTGTCTAACTTCCTTAAGGGGCAAAGATAAACACACATCTTTAACAGCAATGATAACCAAGGAATCTGAGTTTTGGAAATTATGAATTCAAGGAATGAAATCAGAAGCCTGGCACAATCCATAACCAAACTTGCACTTCTCATCTTGATGCAGGCATGAAAACCCCAGGAACTCTGGGGTTCAATTAACCATGTGGATATTATTAAGCATATAAAATAGCAAGAATGTGAAAGTAGCAATTAAAAATATGATATATTTGTATGCTGGAGAAATGCCTCAAAATAATTATCCCAAATATTTGCTTTAATAAATAAAAATGGCTTTTCACAGTTGTATTTGCACCCCAGTGTGCCTCATTCCTGAAAGAAAATAGAAGAATAATTGGAAAGGAAAACTTTCTACATGAAAGATACAAAGATCACAAGAATACATAATTTATACACCACAGCAGGAGCTTTAAAGTTTAATAACAGAAAGTTGGATTTACCTAGATGAGAAAAATATATTTGTAATGGAGAAGTTTATTTGTAGCTGTAAGAACAAAAGCATCCAATCAAAATATTATTTTTGCATGAAATAGTCAGGTCTCACCTTCTGAAGACACCAAGACATTTGAGGTAGAATAATTATCAAATGGCACATTTTAGGTACGAAATATTGATATATGGTATGATACCATAACACCTCCTTGAGGGAGATGTGTGATCTTGAAACACAAAATATAAATAACATATAAATAAATATACAGTATCTTCAAACTGTAAAATGTGAGCTTCTGGGCAATCAGCATGCCACAATATGCCATGTATGCCTATTTCCACATATTAAAAACTTGCATATACTTGTGCATTGGGCTTGTGGATAGATAGATAGATAGATAGATAGATAGATAGATAGATAGATAGAT